TCTATTCTAACCGATCAATACGACATCACGTAACGAATAACCATTCTTCGGCTAGAACCATAACCATTTGTTCATGCGAGAAGATTGATTACCGGACCAACGTGGTCTCAATTAATACTAATAATCGATGTATATGAGGGACATTCGATGAAACGCAAAACGCAATCCCCATGAGTAACAATGGCTGGAATACCCTGGCACGAAAGGGATATTAATTACATGCCGTAGCTTTGATATGACCAAAGGAAAAGATGTATTGCTCGATATTTAATCGTGTGTGAAAATCGATACAGCGCATCAGAAAGGTCGTAGGTCTTTGGCAATCTCTGTGAAGATCGGGTTATTTACCAGACTTAGTATGTCGGAGCTCTGCGGGGGTACCCGCTCTAGATTCACATTAGATGCCGACGTGTTCCGAGAATATTCCTGTCTTCTGCGAGATATATGCTTCTTCGTATGCAAAAACGAGATGACCCTGTGATAGATAGGAATGTGGAATAAGTCTACCTTGCTCGTTCTGCACGTGCAAAACGGGCAACCTTGAGTTACTTCTGCATTTGTGTATCCGCGTTCTTTCCAATTGAATATTTTAGCGTATTTCTTGGTTACTGTCACGTATTTCTTTATGTCCTCTCGGGGGATATTTTCTTTTATCGATAGTTGACTTTTTGCTGGTCGTGGATGATTAATTAAGTCGCGTGACGGTTGATTAACCCTTTGCAGTTGAGAGGCGATCCTCAGTCGCCATTTAATCAGACTCTAAAGATCGATGTTAGTTAATATATTAAATTTTAAATTACCCAACGATGCGTGGAATATGGAAATAAAATAATTCCACGTCTTAATTTGCATAGGATTTACCGTTTTAAAAATATCGCTGACTTTATGGCAGAAAGTCTTCGAATTACTATAATATTTTTCTGTAACGAAATAAGTGTCGAGTGCAAAGGGTTAATTATTTATCTCTGTACTATAATATATGTGTGTGTGTGTATATATATATATATTATGTATATTAATATTACAGTAATAAGTAAATTGTATTATTACTTATTCATACAATGTATTATATTAAT